CCGGCTCGTCAGCTTGATAAGTGGCTTGTGAACTAAACTCAACGAGCTAACAAGTCAAGTTTAAGGGCCCATTGGGGGCAGATTAAAACTACGGCGGCGTTTTTGAAAACGCCGCATTTATATTTGATTTGCACATTTTACTCGCGTTTGCCAAAACATCGATTTATAGCGTTTTATTATTTCTATTAGACGTGGATCGCGGGTATAACTCCGCGATCCAGCGTTCGAGCGAAGCATTTACGCCTCTGCCCTAAAACCCAATCCTCTAAGCGCTCTGCCGAAGCTAATCCCTGTCGAAGGAAGCCAAAGGAAGTAACTGCCGAAGGAAACACTCCTACCTCTCCACTACTCATCCCTGTCGAAGGAAGCCACAAGCAACACCTCTACCTCTCCGCCGCTCATCTCTGTCGAAGTAAGCTCACCGCTGCTCATCCCTGCCGAAGGAAGCCGCAAGCAACGCTTCTACCTCTTTGCTGCTCATCCCTGCTGAAGGAAGCTCACCGCTGCTCATCCCTTCCAAAGGAAGCTCTGATTTTTTTGAGCAATTTACCTCTGATTTTTTTGCAGTAAAAATTCCTTATTTACTTTAGCGATTTACCTCTGCTTTTTTTTTTATTGATGCTTCGTTTATAAATTTCTTTTGTGAGAATGCTGAAAGTAAAATTTAAGTGTTAGATATGTAAATACATTGGAATTTTGTGGTATGAGTGTAAAAATGAAAATTTTGATTTGTGATATGTAAATCCATAAAAATTGAGTGCTATATATGTAAATTTCCTTAAATTTAAGTCGAACTATTTAATAATTGTTTTATTAAAAATAAATTAAATATTAAAATTTAATTAATTTAGTAAATTTTGTAGTAATTATTAGTTACTTTAATAAATAACTAATTATGATTAGATGTAAATGTAACTATTTGATGACTATTTTTTATTATTTACTCAATAAAATTAGGATTTTTTTCTCATTCATAAATTTAAATATTTTATTATATATGAAAATAAAATAATAATAATAATAATAATAATAATAATAATAATAATAATAATAATAATAATAATAATAATAATAATAATAATAATAATAATAATAATAATAATAATAATAATAATAATAATAATAATAATAAAATTTCTCTTAAAATGCTTATTCCTCAAATATCCTTAACAAAGTTAACTGTTTGTGTTAATTTTAACCTTGAAATTCAGCCTGAGGATTAATTCAAATCAATTTTCTATAGTTTAGCAGATCTTATAATTTCAGTAGTTTAGCAGATCTTATCTTTATAACTCCGGGATTAAAGTGGTTACTTGTTGGTAGTCGGGAGGTTGTTTTGGGGTGTTGCACTATTAACAAAAGATAAAAAATTATTCAAATTGGAAGGATGTTTGTCAACTTTCGCATGATCTTATAATTGCACCAGATGAGAAAGATTTGTTTTTGTCGATTCGGACACATGTTTGATTTTCGTGGAGAGTACTATTGCATGAATGATGGACGACCTTATCATCGTATTCATTGTTTTCCATACTCTATTTGACTAACTTGCTGCTTGCAAGCAAATTGAGTACCCAGGCAAATATAGGGTGCTTCACTTGAATGGTGAGCTGTCGAGTCCTTGTAGGTTCTATTTATGTAAGATTTTGGCGGGGATGTTGATAAATAACTAACCCAAATCTATCTACCTCAAATAATTTGAGTTCAGAATGTCTTGATTATTATTCAGGTGTGCCTTAGATCAGCAAATAAATCCGATTTCTATTTGGGTTAAGCTTGTGCTGATTCAAATAACTTAAAGTTAATTCAAAATTTACTTGATTAATATTTTGGGTTCATATTTGGCGGGTTTGAGTCAGGTTCATTGGATTTGGTCTTTTCAGTCAAAAAAATTATGTGATTCATACAAAAAAATGGGTTTGAGAGTTAGGTTTGGGTCAGACGGGTTCGAGTTGAGTTAAATTCTGGTCAAATATTTTGACTCATATTAGTTGGATTTGATTCAAGAATATTCCAGTTGAGTCAATTTCAAGGTAAGCCCGAACGCAGCCCATCAACTCACACATACACCTGCCGTCGGCTTCATCTGTCATTGTTCTGGCCTGTAATTGATTTTAATTTCCCAACTTCCTATAACGTTATATTGCCCTTTGTGAACATAAGATGCTGTTTGTCTGAACGTTGTATTCAGTTTTGTACGTATTCTGTTGCTTTGTACCGTTAAGCCTAGCTCTAAACATTACAACTTTCATCCGAAATGCAGAGCTTCCCTGAGGAGCTATTTAGCGTCTTAAGGACAATGCAACTATTAAGAGGATTAAGCGTTGGGATGGGCATCAGCTATTCCTGCGCTGAGCAGTGGAGACCCCTCGCTGAAGAAGCTTTGTACAGGGCCGGAAGGCTGAATGGTACTTCTTTGCTTCTTATTTCACATCTGACTTGAATTTATTATACTCATTTTGAGGTATATTCAATTTTTTTTCTATGAATATTCTGACCCAAAACTTCCTTTTTTTATTTCTATCATTAGCCTGTAGCCTCTGTTTGAACTCTTCAATTGATTTCCTTTACCCTCTGACAGTCTTTTCAATTATTGTCTTGAAAACCTTTTCAGATAACAGTTTCAAAGCAAAGAGGAGTGGCATCCTTCAAACCTTATTTCGGAGAGGGAGATAATTGGATCAAACAGACAAAGTTCAGTTAATTTGGCAATTTAAGTATTTTGCTGGCAATCAATCCTTGAGCATGCACAAGTTTAATGAGTGGTCAGATACCTTCACCAAGGCTTCATTTGGTTTTGTTTTTTCATAATCTTATATTTTGATAAGCTATTTTAATTTAAATTTATATGAAAATAGTGTGTTGTGTGTGTGTGTATGTGTGTGTGTTATTTATTTATTTATAAATCAGGGCAATTTATGCAGTCTACTAAAATGTGCTCTAATATATGAAAATAGAGTAATTTTTGAGGTTGTTGGACTGGAGCAATTTTTAATAATATCTTCCGTGCCATTTTCTCCTTTGCGTTGGGGATGATGGGTGTGTAGAATTTTGTTGATCTGCTGTTTACAATGAGGTGCTCCATCTCTTTTAGAGGAAGAAACAAATTCCTTTCAAGTCTGTTGCTTGTTAATTGCCTGCAATAATATTGTACGCATTGAACATATTAATAATTAGTCTAATGTATTGAACATCTAAGCATTTTAGATGATCTCATAAAAATTGACTTAATTAACTAATTAATTAATTTAACTATCTAGCATTTTAAGAAAATTAAAAAGCATCATTATGGATGCTTTAAGTGATCAATTATGAAAGTGGCATTTTGTCACTATTTTTAGTGGCTTAGGATCTGTTTGAGGTAGCTGCATCGGTTTGAAGTAGCAGCTTAGCTATTGCAGAAGTTGTTATTTAAAAAATTGTGTTGATTATGTTAAATTTATTTTAATTTCAAAAAGTTAGATCGTAACTTTTTGGCAGTCATCACATCACACCTTAACATATTAGGTTGAAAAAAATATTTTTCTATCATAGAAATTTTTAGAAAACAGTAATCTCAAATAGAATTGTGGCGGTTGTTTGAAAAATAAATCAGTTGGAAAACTATATTTTTTTTATATTGAAATTAAAAAAAGTTTTGAAACAACAATATGGTATTAAATGTGATGACTTGACATATCAAATATTTTCTTATATCAATTCTAGTTTGTTGGTACCATATTTATAATAGAAGTATGTCATGAATTGTAATATAAAAGTCACCTTTAAATATTGCATCTATATCACAGTAAAACAATTGAAATAAATAATATATTAGAATATTTAACATCAAACCCTTATATCTCCTAAGTATTCACATGTATCATTAGGACCTTATACTTTATTGTCCGAAATACAATTCATCTATTCATGCCTTTACAATTCCCCTTTAAGTATGTATGTTACTCAAGCACCTATGTATCCTTATAATTACACATTTTACTCAAACATTTATAGTTCCCAATAAATTTTTAGACATGAATTTTACAAACAATCTATCAATTAAGAAACCTTTTTCATACACAATTATTTTGTAATATATTATTATAGATGAATCATTATTTTAGTAAACATAAGTAATTTATATTTGGTAAAAATAGTGTATAAAAATATGTAAATATTAAAATATTAGGTAAGGTAATAGCAACTTACCTCAAATTGTTTTTTGTAAGTTTGCCCAAATTAATATTGAAAATTAAAAAAAAAATTTAAATCATTAAAATATTAGGTAAGGTAATAGCAACTTACCTCAAGTTGGACACTTTTTTTTAATTAACTTGATGGATGAAAGGGCTCCATAACCTTCAAAATTGTACTTTCTCTCTCCTCTCCCTTTCTCTCTCTAAAACTCATGGCTAAGAAAAATGGAGTAAATTAAATGGAGATATTTGCAATAAAATATGTTTTTAATAATTATATAAAAAGAACATAATGGTCTAAATTATTTTATTTTTAATTATAAATTCTATATAATTATAGCTTGAAAAATAGAGTCTCAAAATTGTTTAAAAAAACATAATAAATAACATATCGTGTTTAGATTACATAGGATGGTCACCAAATGACCACAAAAACATATTTGTACCAACAAATGTAAATTTCTTAAAGAGTTTAAATCAAATAAGCAACCATTTTTTTTTATATCTACAATGCCCACAAAAATAGTAAAAAATGTTCATAAATAAAATGTTGAATCTCTACAATGTGGTGAACATGAATTATAAATTATTTTGAACACGAATCCAAAAAATACATTCAAATATGATACTCAATTCTATTTTAATAACAGTCCAACGAAAAAGTATTACTATCTTTAGAAAATATTTTTGAATAATTTTTTGAAGCTTAAAATTATATAAAAAGAGACTTTAGTATATATCTTAGAGAAATTTCCAATTAAACTGACATATGTGAAAATAAACTCTAAGGAATCGACATTTGAGGGTATTTTGAAAATTTAATGAAATAACAAATATACTAGTGCATATTATACTTTTAACCCTAGGATTGTCATTGTTGATCTTTCTCTGAAAACTTTAGATGAAAGAGTGGAGGACATTGCATGCATATTTACAAAAAATTATAGATGAGCCTATATCATAACGCCATAGAATTTGTAACTTTTATTGTATTATATTACACTATAGCCAACTTATCTAACTAATCCAAAATATTTGGTAATGTACATAATCTTGATAGATTATTTTAAATAATTTCATTTTTTTTT